GTTTGAATAGTTTATGTTTGAAAAATTAATATATATATTTTTCAATATTTGAGTGGTGAAAAAAATAAAACAGCATTTTAAAATGAAAGCTCAAAGCCAGTACACATAAAGCTGAATTTGGGCTCCTAACCTCTGACGGAGATCGGGTTTTATTTTCTAATATGTTTTCAGCATCTGTTTTTTAATTAGTTCATCAAGGAGGAACCACAAACATTACTTCCCATACCCTCTGTAATGTTCTGTACTCTTTAACAGCAGTCCCTCAAATGGGTAAGTTATTATTAATTAGTTTTAAGTTACCTGATCGCTGCTACTAGAGACTGAAACCAGCATAATCCATGTACAAACGTAGAAAACAAAATTTTGATTCTTCTACAAATTAAAAAAATAAAAATAAAAAAAATATATAAGAAGTTCAAAACAATATTAAATAGACTACGTATTTACTATTCAAAACAGGGCAAGAGACAAATGACTTCACTGCTAACTTATCTTGGGTCAATGGGAATAACATTCATCCTAATATCCATCCTAGCAGCACACAGCTATGTATCATTTCAGGAAACAGATGCACAAAGTACAGGCCCTGAGGAGTTAAGCTTTTACAAAGTTTACAAAGCTTATTTTAATATTCTCAGGAATGAACGAACAACAGCAACAAAGGAGATAATGCATACGGTCCTTAAATAAACTGGTTTTTACCTTGGGGTTTCAGATAAAGGCAAGGCATTATCTGGAACAAGTGGTGATAATTTTGCCCATGTCTAACTTTACATTATTTATCACATCTCACTGAAACTACAATGTATCGTTTTAAATATGATAAAGCTCTAGTTAACCCATGTAACTCTTGAAGCAGTGAAATGCTGCACCTGCAGCCAATTGTATTATAGACTTCCATTGAATTTGCATAGCACTTTTTGTACCATTTGGTATCACTCTGTAGATTTCTTGGATAGGAAAACTTGGGGCACTAGTTCCTTGCCATTCCTGTCTGGTCACCTTTCAATTCTTCTGTCATAAAATGCAGACGGGCTTCTTTTGTTTAAGAGAAGTCCTTCCAGTCTTTAGTCTCAAAACTTTACAGTTTGAAAAACTACATCTGGTAAATTTTAGCAGTCTTTAATGACACAGACATCACCATTACCACTGTGCTCCCATGCCTGTTTTTGCCATTCTTTTTTTTTTTCTTTCTTTCTTTCTTTTGACAAATATGGCTTTGCAGAGAACTGAGTGAGAAACAAAAATCTCTGAGTGAAAAACAAAAAACAAAACAAGACCTTTTTCTCTCTCCTCACCTAAAATGTCCCTACTGTACCTGGACATTCCCTTACTACAGAGCTACAATCTTCAAAAATGAAGAACTCGACAACTGTAAAGTTACAGACTGCCAGGGATGCTGACAAAATCTTTTTTGCTCTCAGCAAAATATTTAATATGAAACAGGAATATTTAATATTCCAAGCCAACAACTGAGGGAGCAATAAACAACTATGTGATCTGCCCAGAATTCAAGAATCTACCTGACAAACAGCACGTGTTGGAAGCATACTTCTCTCTTCACACGGTATCATTCTGATGTGCTTTTGTTGATAAGCCTCCCTGTCTGTCTGGGACAAAAACTGCTTCTGAAGCACCTGTTACCATACTGCAGCCGCAATGTTTGTAGTCACAAGAAAAATAAAAGGTTCACTTCCCACAGAGTAGTATTGTTCTTACAAAGGCAAATGAGATTCAGATCTTCAGTGTACAACTGCATCAACACAAGTCACGGCAGGAAATGAATTTCCCAAATTGAGACCCCTTCCTACTGGCCAAAGAGAAGTATAAGGACTAAAACAAGGACTGGAATTTCATATATTCACTTTTTTTTTTTTTTTTTTTTAAGATGAGGGAGGGCAAGGACAGGACTGACTGAGCGAGCAGAATTACACAAACACGAAAGAAACACGGCACATAACGTGTACATATATATTGATATATACACCATCGTATATGTGTATGTATCTACGCATACTACCGTGTGTCTGTGGTAAGCCTATTCCAGTTCTGACCTCTCTCTCACCTTGACTTCTGTGGGACAAAAACTGGGAAAACTCCAGCTCTGCCTTTCAATGCCTGTTTTCAATGCAGTCATTGTTTGCTTCACCTGGCTGGTTTATCTGCGAAAATGCAGAAAGCCTGAAGCACAGAGTTCTGAAAAACAAAGAGAGAGATTTGATGCAGAGATAACATCAGTTGCTTTCAGCTTCAGTATTTTAGGCACAGCACACTGATGCAAATCCTTGAGCATCTGGTAAAAAATGCTTCCTCAGAGACGGTGCCATGTCCTGTGCACCAGTTCACTGAATTTGGTCTTCTAAGGTTACTGATGCCAACCAAACATCTGCCTCTGCGGATCCCTTTTTCTGAGTGCATGAGTTACTGATTCCCAGCCTGTTATTGCTCAATCTCTACAATGCAGGAAACCAAACCCTGTGATTAATACAATTGTGAGAAACTGAGAAAGTCTGTGGTATGAACCCACCTCTATTTCAGAATTCTAATAGCAACCAAAGAGCTACTGGAAACAAGTTATTTAACCAAATGCTTAGAAGAGTAGGGACATGTTTTCTGAGATAAATCAGTTTTTGGAACGTTCTAAGCTGCAATTTACATTCCAGGGTCATGGAGTGCTCCTACTCCATCATTACACAGCTCAGCTCTAAATACTGGGACCATGCAATCAGCATGTCTTCTGAAAAAAATCGTATTCTCTAAGAGGAGCAATCCGTAGACAGACAAAACTTACTGAGACTTACTTAGAAATACGAGATAAATCCTGACAGTCGTGAAGTACTCTTATCAAAGAGAGGGCAAGGCACAGTCTGATCTGGCAGTTCTGAAGGTGTTGGAAGATATTCTCAGGGTGCTCACCAGGGGGGAGGAAGCCTGTAAGAGCTATCTCAGATTCTTGAATTTGCTGGAAAATTTCAGTGTGTGAAATGCTGCTGAATTTGTTTCATTCCAAGTATCCACCAGCAACTGCCAAAGGCTGCAGTCTGCAGTCTGTCACCGAGATAGCAACCAGTACTTAACTTCGGTACCATTCTCTGCAGAAACTTATGCAAATTAGTGCTTTCCACACACCGCAGTCATGGTCACTTGTCTCACTGTTAACCATCTGACCCTTTAACCAGGCTACAAACTCTTACGGCTAAGCTGGAGTAACAGCGATACCCTTCATGTTGAGTCCAATTTCAATAAACCCAGCAGAAGCAGTGCTGTGCCGACTGCCCGGCTGCATCAGCACATCTGACAATTTGCTACATTTTCTCTCATTGATATTAATTTCAACTACGTTGACTTATTTTGGTAAGATTAAGTTTTTCAAATATTTTTCTTTGTTAGGTCAGTGCATTTTCTAACAATGGAAATAACACTTTAAAACGAGATTGAGGGAAGTTAATCTACTTTCCCATTTCGCCCAGTATTTTTAGAATTAATGGGGGGGAAAAAAAGTAAAAGGTACAGTGGTGGGAGCATATACTGTGGGGAAGAATAAAATTCAGCCGCCCTCAAGAGAGCCAACATGGTGTCTCTGGATCCCAATCTCTGAACTGCTGGCTCTTGTGCTCTTCCTTCTAACAGCAGCGGGCGCAGCTCAGCCGCAGCGCTCTGCTCAGCTCCCTGCTGACACCCGCGCTTTCAAAGGGAGTTTTTGGGAACTTGGGATGTAATCCCAAAGATATTTCTCTTTGATAGGGAAAGGCTGTGTTTGCAGACACCTTCCTGGCTCCTGAAAATTACTGCTACAGAAAGACAGAACTCACAGAAGGACAGGATACGTTTGCTAATAATCACTTAAAGCACTTTGATGCATAACGTCCTCGAATGCTGGAAGCCCACATAGCTATAGCTTAGGCCTGGGCAGCAACAGCAGCCGATGCTGCCCATTTCCTTACTCGAGCGTTCAACAAACATCTGCAGAACCGGTTGCACAGTGGAATTTTCTGAAGACATGACGTTCGCGCTGTGAACCCCGCAGATCTGCGCACGTCTGAGGCCGACCTCACAGAAATCTCCGGGGCGGGCAGCGACCGCCGCGCTGCCGGAGGCCCCGGGGACGCGGGGGTCACCCGTGATGACCGTTCCGGCGCGGGGACGCGGAGCGGCGGGAGGCGAGCGGTGCTCGGGGGTCTCAGCCGGACTCGCCGCGCCTCAGGGCAGCGCGGGCCGGGGAGGAGCCCCGCGTCCGTCAGCCGCCGCCCGCGTCCCGACTTCGCTCCGCCACGCCGGGGCCGCTCCGCCGCGGAGCCTCCGCGACGAGCCCGAGCCACGAGGCGGGCGGCCGCGCGGGGCCAGGCGGTCCGGAGCAGCGAGGGGCACGGCCGCGGGGCGGGGCGGCCGCTCCCCGCCCGCCGGGGGTGGAGCCGGGCGGCGCCGCGGGGCAGCGCCGACATTTCCCGTGGGGTCGCGGCTCTCCGCAGCAGCACGGCCGAGGACAGCTCTCTCGGTCGGAGATGATGGACGCCCTGCCGGCTCGCGGCTGCCCGGAGGAGGACTGCTACTTTCGGAAGGTGAGAGGAGGGCGGAGCCCCGGGGTTCGGTGGGCTCCGGAGCTGCCGGCGCCGTCCCGATCCCAGGCGGTTCCGCCGCCCCCCGGGCCGGGCTCGCGCGCACCTCCTCACGAGGAGCCCGGTTCCGCCTGGCGGCTTTTCTGCCTTTCCGTCCCTTCGTTCTGTCGTTCGCGCTCCGTCTCCGCGCTCGCTCTCGAGTAATTGCCGCGTGTAGCTGTCGGAAGCTTACTCGAGCGAGGCGGCGAAGTTAGCAGAGTCGTTAGGAAGCCTTTAATAAACATCTGCCCTCATTACTTCTCAGACGACGTGGGCGGCTCGTGCCGTGCCCGGGCTCTCGGCACGGCGGCAATTACCTCTCTGCGCTGCCCGCGGCGCTCCGCTCGCGGCCCGCCGATGCCCGCAGAAGCGCGTCCGAACGGCGCTGCCCTGCAGCGGCTGGGAGCGGCGCGGTGCTGCCAGAACGGGCGCTGTCGCGCGGGGAGCCAGGCGGGCTGAGGTGAAACTTCCCATCTCGTCCGGTTCTTTCATTTGAGTAATCCTCATATAGTATCGGGTGAGTAATCACTTAGCAGTCCTGAGCAGGAAATCGCGAAGTATGGCAGAGCTGTAATCGTTCTGAGTTCTCGTAGCTGTGCTCTGTAGCACCAGGTGCTGTGGGCTGCCGCCGTACTTGACGTGTTAGCAGAGCCTCGCAATCCCAGAGAGAGCCGAACTTGTTAAGATAGATACAAGTTGTCCTTTTCTCTTGTTCGCCTTGTTGTTGGGGTCCGGCTGGAGTCTGATGGCCAAACTGTGTGCTGTAAGGAGTGGGAGGCATACGCTGCACTCAGACCGGCCATAGGATGGGGTCCTTTCTGGTTACAGCATTGTACATTACGAATAAGGTCTCATAAACAGCATCAGATCAGAGCCATCTCCATGTGCTGAAAAGTTATGGTGCTATTCCGATATGAAAGAACTCAAAGATCTTACACCTTATTATGAGCATCTTCCCCACTTTTGATTTGCTTATCACAAACAAGTGCAAAATGGACAGAAATCCAATGTTAAATCTGGATGAGCTGGGGCTGCACTGGCGCCTTTTCCTCTGTTCACTCAGGAGATGTTTGGAAGGCTTGTCTGGCTCGTCTGTACCATTAATACAGTTCTAAACGTCAGATTAGGTTAAAAGCTGAAAGCCTTCTGTCCCTAGAAGTTAAATCTAAACAGAAAGCCAGTATTCCTTGTTACACATTAGTTGAATGGTCTCAAAGATCAGAGCTTTCATTCTAAGTAGATTCAGGAGAAGAAAACAAGCAAACAAGAAGAAAAACCTGGAATCCTGAACAGACTCACCCTGTGAAGCCAAAGCATTAACCTGGACAGAATATCTTTCTTTGGACCTTACCTGTTCATTTGAATGGTATGCTAGATGGCTTCGTGTAACAAACTGGTTATTGAGCTAGTCATGTGTGTCCATGGGCTCCCCCGCCTCTCCAGAGTCCCTTTGCATTGTTTTCTGTTCCCTTAAAAAAAAAAAAATAAATAAATCACACTCTTCATTCCCTGAAGGAGTCTGAGGGTTGTTCTACTTGTTCTGCTGGTGCAGAAACACACCAATTTCCAAAAGCCATTGCGTGTGTTTTGAGATGAAAACATTTACTTAGTTGACCTTTCTAATGTATAAGCTGCAGAGCAAGATGAAAATACTTTTTTGTATCAGGACTGCTCATAAAAGGGCTCCCCAGCATTCTGTATGCAATGAGGTTGTCTTCAATACTGTAAAAGACTTTTATATATACTCTGAGATCTTAATATTGATAAAATTGAGTAGTCCGTACAATATTCATTTGTTCTATGCTTTTGATATATTTTTGTGATAAGTGGATTGCTGTGGGACGTTTGCTCAAAGCTGACACAGTGCCCTTTTGCAGCCTCAAATACAAAAGAGCAGACAGTAACCCTCGCTGTACCCAAGATGCAAAATGTAAAAACTTATTTCCTAAAGTCTTATTTTCTTTTGGGTGGAGACTGGCTTTGTGTAAAGGGCAACAGGCAGAAATGGTGTAACAGAAACACAATCCTGTTTCCTTCTTTCACTCCTGTTGCCACACTAGGAAGTTAGGCTTGCTGTGACTGCCAAGTCAGTCTCAAGTGGGATGGCTGGCATTTTCTTCTGGCAACTTTCCGTGCAGCCCTGGGGCTCTCTTCCTCCATTCATTCCCAGCCACATCAGCAGCAGCTCTGAGTCCATTCTCTCCTTTCTCCTCATGGCAAAGGCCCCTCATCTTTGCATATGCAAACTATGATTTCCTTTAAACCATTGACTTCCTTTGAGCTGGTTCTGAAGACCACTCCTCCCTCCCCCCTTTTCCTTTTATAATACCTAGTTTTGAAATAATTATGCAATCATGCAGGGTATACACAACTCTGCCAGTAATGACACTATTCCTCTTCTCCTTGCATCTCCCCTGAGAAAGGGGAACCTCTTCAACTATTTGATTAGCCACAACTAAAATTCTGAGAGGAATTTTAGGTTAAAGAAAAATAAATCCTGCTGTTGCTCTGAAAAGGATATGGCAAGGTGGCAGGGGCACCCTACTTGGGCTTTCCATCAAAGAGGAGATGGAGGTTCTTCTGGAAGTTTTTTTTTTTTCTTTCTTTCTGGGAATACAGTGCCTAAGGAAACTGGTTCTGCTATTGTTCTGTCTATCTCTGCCATCACGTTTGTAGTTCATTATACCCTGTGGTACAATATCAGGGCAGACTGTACCTGCAGTTCTGTGCGTGCTCCTGGATGACCAGCCTTGTGCCACAGCCTTCTTTGCATGGAGTTCCACATTCTTCTCCTGGCTCTGGCCATGAGCCTGTGAATCAGCCATGCTTATACCATACTCTGTCAAGATCCACTCCCTGGCATTTTTCCCATGAGAGATCCTACGGCCAGTGAGAAGTACTGACAAAACTAAAGATAAGAGCAAAGAACTTGTTTTGAAAGCAGAGCAAGGCCTTCACATAGAAGGATTTTTCAACGCACAGTACTTAAAGGCCCATCCTCACCTACCATTTTGCTTACCTGAGATGCTTATTCCACTCCAGACGACGTAGCCTGCCATAGCTCTGCATCAGATTGCCTGTTCTTCATTTACACAAGTTCTTGTGAGGAAAGCAAAAGCAAAGAACACCTTGAAAGAAGAGTTTTCTTCATTCTCTTTATTCCAGAATCAGCCCACTAAACCAGCATGCATTAGCAGAGTAACCCAAAGAGCAGTCAGTATACAGAATTCAGGGTACCTGTGAGGCTGTGCTTGTCCACTCACAGGATTCAAAACAGAGCGGTGATCTCTTGGTAGAGTTTCATCAGCCCTAGAACATTGTTTGGTGAGTAGAAGCAGAGCAAGGAAGAGATTTCTAGCAAACTTTTTAGCATATAACTTTTTTATTTTTTTGTTAATTGCATTATAATGCCTTACACAGATTGGAACTTTTCAGGTTTCTTAATTAGGAAGCTGCAATAGAAGGAAAAATCCATGTTTATTTTTCAAACTTACCTTTTTTGTAGGTATTCAGACACATACTGGTACAGCACTAAGCATCCTATCTTCAATTTGGTTGTCTTGGAAAGCTGTGTGGACAGGCCGAGCAGTTGAACGGATAGCTTAAAGAGCCTTGAAATTCATGTCAGTTGAGTGAAGATAATTGCTTTCTTTTCCCTTTCTGAAAGTCTGGAGACAAGAAAATTATCATGTAGACCAAGCTGATTCAGAAGGAAGAAGGTATGGTAGTCCTTCCTGCCAGGATGAAAAGGCTAAAAACAGAACACAAGTAGTTTTGTAAATAGAGTGCCAGGCTGAAACTAACAATGATGGTAGGTATGATAAGTTGCTTGTGAATCAGCCCTAATTAATCCTCTCTCTCTTTAGCTTTTGGGCTTTCTTGTGGAGGATTTGCCCCCTGCCCTGCTGTGATTTATGGATCAGTTTACCAACCTGCTACACCTGTGCTTCCACTGGGGCTTAGCTAACGTGGCTGGTTTTAGTCATTAGTAGCCAGGCAACAATCAACATTAGCATTGACACAGCAATATTTATTTGCCTGTTTGTTCTCTCCCTGCTCGTCTAGCCAGGCCAGAAACAACATTGACGTGATTCACACCCGGCATCAGGCCATGCTCTGTCCACTCATTATATACAAATTAAAAAAAAACAAAAAACTGAAAGTAGGCCTTCATGGCCAAACCAGGAATCGTTTGGAACTTGGGTCATCAAGGCACAGGCTTCTCAGACCCAGTATTAATTTTGATTTGTGAGCGGTGTGACAAGATTGTATAGATGGTATAGAAAATGTTTGGAACAATACAATTATTAATTATAAAACATTATTGTTAGTCTTTGAACACTTAGAACTGTAACATACCTGAATATGGAACAATTAGATCAGCCTCTGGAATATCAGTTCTTCCTTAACTCTCTCCTCCTTATTTTAAGCACAGATTAAAAACATCTACTGTTGAAAGGTTTGTGGTATGTGCCTAAGATTTCAGCATTGAACTAAGGGAATCTCTCAGAGATGCTTCAACTGCAGTAGTAGGAGATGGTAAGGAAATCATCATTTAGGAGCTATTCAGAGTCCTACTGGAACTACTGGAGTGTCAGTGGTGCCATGTACGGTGACTTCTATCGAAGCCAAGGAATTTACCTGCATGAGTGAAGTTGCGTACAGGTTTAAATGCCTGGGGGCTATGGCCATTTGCATGCTCTGCAGGGTACAAGCAGCACAGGTCACACTGGCTGGGAAGGAATGTTTTATTTTAGGTAAGAAGGCACACCCAGTTTCAACTCTGTGTCACCCTGTGTGTGTGACTGGTCTAAAAGTTCAAACCACTGCCTCATAAGTCATATTCATGCTAATTTCAGATGCCTCCTTTGATTGCTCATTGTTAGGCAGTCACAATTTTTGTGTGCATCGCAACTTAAGTTCTGATGTTAAAAATACTCCTGTCTTGAAGAAGGATCTGCCAGGCACTGAAGCTAAATGCAGCTCTTCTCTGTTTGGGACCTAGACTTTTGACAGCTTGCTTCCTTCTGTGGTGGGCCACTTCGAAGCTTGGATAAACATGAAAATATTGCCTGTATCCCTTTAGACTGGGGATTTGAAGGCTCTGTCAGGTGGGAGGTAGAGGCAAGATGCTGTCCATTGACAGCTAGCCTGCAGTGTCCAGCTACAGGCTTGTCTGACTGTCCTCTTTGTGTCTGTGTAATCCATAGCCCCATGGAGCCCATCAGCCGCCCTGTAGCTCTGCTTTATCTCCTGCTGCGCCCCATCTGAGAGGCAGAAAGTTGCAGCAAGATCCCAGAGGCATTCATTATGCTGTTTGCCAAATAAGCATGTGTGGGATAATGTTTAGAGGGTTAAAAGTACAAGGTGAGATATCCAGCCTCCTAAGCTCAGGCATTAATTCTAACAAGAGATGAGCAGGAATCCCACTGGAATCTGTCTGCATGCTCCATTAATTAGTCAGAGGATTGCTACGAAATGTGCATAGGCCCTGCACAGCCTTCATCAGCAGATGTGTGTTTATTTTTCTCATACCAGTGTCTGTTTCTTCTGAGCACGTATCTACCAAAGTACACATATAACATATGGTAAGAAATTGATGTGCGGGACTTGCTTTTGGTAAGGACATAATAAAAACTTACCAGCTTCCTGACACTGCAATTCAGCCAAGCAGGAAGAAATGAAGTAACTAGCTAACAACTTCAGGTTTTAAAGAGACTGTTATTTTTTTTTTCAGAGGCTAAGAACTATAACATTTAAGCACTTCAAACAAACACACCTCTTCATGAAATGCAGCACTTTGAGGGGAAAAGGGCTCTAAAACTGATAGCAGAGTTTGAAATGTCTTTACAAGAAGTATATTTACTCTTTTTTTTCCCCATCAAAACATGCAATGAAAACTTCAATCATACTTTATTCTTGATCACTTTTGTGACTTCATTAGTAATAGGTCACTTTGTTAATGAACTGATAACACTGCTAGTGTGTGAGTGAGGGTAAAATCCCCTTTGCTCTCTGAGTTGTCTTGCATCTGCAAAGAAATAAACAGTAATTAAATGAAACATCTCTCATTCTGTTGACAAGAAATGAAGCAGTAGGTGTGGAAACTGCTGGGAAGTTTGGCTGCCAGCTATTTAATGTACTGAACATAAGCATTCTTGGGAATGTCCATATGTGAGCCACCTACAAATGGGGGCTGAGAAAGGACCTTTGTCGTGCAGGAAGACAAAATGGAGCTTTTACTCAGACCTATCTCTTAAGTAATGTTTAAGCACACAGAGGTTGTGATTTACACGAGGAGAAATCTTCTCTGGATTGTCTATTTCCCATAACATTTCTTGCTGATGTTGGTTATTTTCAGTGCTCTCTCTGCATCCTTGTACCGTTCAGTATTCTGGCATCCTATACAAAGAAGAGTTGAAACCTGCACATGAGCATAAACTAGCTGAGCATCCCCGTATGCTATAGAGGGGATCTAAAAAGCAGTTTTCCATGAGGTCAAATGCAAGCTCCTTGTTGGCCTTGAAGTAGATGGGAGGTATGTGCAGTAGAAGAGCCTACTCTGAAAACATTCTTCTGTTAAAAGAAAGTCTTTCAGAAGTGAAGCACTTGAGACACAAGGGGGTGATCCCGATAGTTAGTCAGTGCCTTCTCCTTTTAGGCCTCAGGGGATTCTTTTTGCACTGGGGCATCACACAGTGATTAGAGGCTGGCCTTGAAATGAAGGGAAACACCTCTGCTGCTTTTGTTCTTTGCAGAGTTTGAGGTTGCTGCAGATTTGCACTCAGTATTCACCTGGAGTCTGTTTGATTTCTGGGCTGGATCTTGATTTGACGTCCATGGAAATAAACCAAACACTTCTGCTGAGCTTTGTTGGCGCGAGGACCGGGCAGGTGATCTTCCTGAAAAAGTTCCCAGGAGTAAAGCTGCAAAGGATTGGAATGACAACAGGAAACTTGTTGTGCGCGCAGAAAGGGCAGGGAGTTCTAGGGAGGAGCTGCAGCCCTAGAGAGAAAATGAAGTCTGGGCAGGGGATGATGCACTTAGGAGGGGTGCTTGGACGAAGGGGTTTGGGAAGAAGGGCATCCCAGGGGTACAGAGATGAAAGGCCCAAGAATAAAGTGTTCAAGGTGAATACAAGACGCAAGACAAGGTCATTGGCAAGGTTCAAGTGCAAAGGAGCATGGATAGACCAGAAGGAGAGAGACTTTGAACATCAGTAGTAGAGAAAGACTATGCAGTGTAAAGTGAAGAAAAAGCAAAATTGGAAGAACAGCAAGAGCCCAGAACAAGATGCAGGCTAAGAGCAGAAAGCAACCTGTAGGTGCAAGGCCATGTTGTTCCTATGAGTGTGCCTTGGTTTTGCTTCTGAGTAAAAATGTGTTAAAGGGCATAAAGTATTTTGTGCTTCAAAGACTACTTTTAATCTGACATGAACAAAGGAAATTGCTAAATATGCATGTACTCTCCAGTAAAAGTTCATCTTCTTTGTATTCTGTTTGTTACCAATGCTTTCTCATCAAAGAGAGTATGTAGCACACATCCAAGTTTTGGCCTTCTGCTGAAATTGGTGCTTCATTGTAGAAATGTTTCTATGATGAGAATAATTTAATGTGACATGTTTTTTCAAATTATCTGGCACACGATGCTTCAGAAAGCATTTACACAAGCTTTGTGTCATCTTACCTATTTATTATAAACATTTCAAAGTAAGGATTTAAAGTTAACTGTATTAGGCTATGTGCTTTCTCAGATAAGCTGATATAAACTGGATTGATCCTCTTGTTTCTCTGTTGCCAAGTTAGTTTGCTTTCACCTGCCAACCCAAATAAAAATGTCGTGGTCAGAACTTTGTGTTCTATTTAAATACTTGTTTTTGATGTGCTGGTATGTTATTGCCTGACCACTCATAATTAGAGCTTGTTGAGAAACTTTTCAGTGCTATTGTGTCTCAGCCAGATTTTTCCAGTTAACATGTAAGAGGGGGATCCCAAACTGTTCATAATCTAGTGGCTGGAGGACTTGTGGGAAAACTTGCGTCAGACAGATTTGAGCCTTTTTAGTGTATAATGCAAGATTCAGCAGGACCCAGTTAAACTTCTTAACAACACCCAGCAAGGCCACTCGAAAGGGCGCGCTTCATTTAAGGGTAAACCTTAAGATGGAGTGATCTGTGTGCTTCAGAATCAGTAGTCAAGGCTGTGGGGTGTGCTGGTCAGCTGTAAATGAACATGAAAAAAAAGAAAGGTGGGGGGCAGAGGCAAAGAATTGGAAAAAAAAAAAGTGGAAGGATTCTGTTTATTAAAAAAAAAGGTGTTAAGATTGTGTTCCTCCTGGAAAGAACAGAAGTCAGACAGATACACAGTTCTGCTTGTCCGTAATCGTTTTATCTTATCAGTGCTCTCTCTGAAATACAATGGCGTGGCTCTCCTCATGTAAATGTGCAGAACCTTTGTTCTTCTACTTTTGTGTAGGTTTGCACGTACACAGAAGTATTCTTGTGAATTGTGGATTTAATGGTTTACTTTTTAAGGGCTCAGTTTGCTAAGTATCTGAAGGTGCAATAACCATCTTTCCCTGTCCAGGTCTGTTGTTCCTTTATCCCATATTATTCCATGTTCCATCTTTTTTGATGTCGAGGCAGACATATGTAATCCTTGTTTGTCCAACAGATGATAAGATAAAGTAGTGGGCAGAAAATAGTTGGCACTGTGATAATATACAGATGAAATATTGTACAGAGTTTATTCATATTTCACATTTTTGGTGCAGTATGCAAAAGTGATGTTGCGTTAGGGCAGGGCAGACTTAAAGATCTGAGAGCATTCCCTAGATCTAAAGAAGACTGATGCAGATAAGCAGTACT